TGATGTATATGTAATTGAGTTGTATAATTTGATAGCATAAAATAATCATGCATGATTAGAGGGTATGAATTCCATTAAATGTGTTTTCTTTATGCATCACTAAGTCATCGACTTAGCGTGTGATTGTTTCACACGCAGGTTACAGAAAGTGAATATAGAAGCTGTGAGGAGCAATACAGGTCAGCATCTCCCTTACAAAATTTCAGATCAGAAAATAGAGGATTTAAATGTTTTTGGTTATTTTGAGTATAGTTGGCATGTACTAATTGGTTGAATTAAGTATGATCTGATTGATTTTGGTTATGGTGGTCAGTTTATGTAACTAAACCGCTTTTACTTTAATGAAATGTTTAAATTTTCTTTGAATTTTTTCAATAGTCAAAGTTTGAAAAGTCAATGTGACACCTCATAGTCGTATACGGGTCAGATACGGGTTGGGGGTGTTACAATGTGTGCCACATGATGATGCATAGTAGCATAATATCGTGGTTATAGACTAATATATGTATACTCGTGGCGAGGGCTTTAGTTATAAACTAAGGGAAACATGAGACTTATATTATTGTGATAATGGATATACCTTGGATAGATGGTTTGTAATATCAATGACATAGTTGTATTGCTTCTTTGACTATACTTGTTACATATTTATGTTATGAATGCATGTAGTATAGTACATGTATTGTTTGATGCGGGGCTTGTGAACTTAGCGTTCATAATGTGTTTTCGTTCATAAGTTATAGGTCAAATGAAGTGTGATGGGACAATGATATCATCGGAAGAATCTCAGCGAAGTACCAGAGTACAATGATGACGGTTTAGTGGGCATGTAGAAGTAATGATTTAAAATGAGTCAGCTTATAATATTTAATTGTTTATTTTATTTATCGAGTTTTTAAATTGAGACCTCACTTTTGTAAATGGTTATAGTTAATACTTTGTATAAATGTTTTAAAAGAGAGTATGGTTTCAAAAAGAAAAAATGGTTAGTCACTTCGGTAATTTTATGTGATATTTGAATCTAAGGATTTGGGTGTTATATGTGGAAATCAAAGTGGTTGAATAATGTACAATACACTGGTTGAACATGAAGTAAATGAAGAAGATGAAGACGAATAACCATAAAAAAATTGACGAGTCCTATATCATTATCATTTAACTACTCACGACGGTGTCAAAAATTAAGAAAATATAAGTATTTTTATTAGTCATTGTATTTGTTAAAAAATTAAATTAATAGTTTATAATAAATTATTTAAAAGAAATGAGCTTATGTTATTGTTTAAAATTTGTAAGTGTTATGAAATTTTAACTTAAATTTTTTTTAATGAAATATTAAAATAAAAATAAATAATTTAAAAACATTGAAAGGGTTTAAAAAATAAAAAATAAAAAGTAAATTATTAGTTTGCAATAAATCGAAACTCGTAATTTTTTTACTTTAAATTTAAAATTAAAAAATAAATAAATACTGAAACTCATCGCATAAAATTGACGAGTTTGTTATGTGTTTTAAAATGGAGTTGTCGTTTCGTTTGAATTTTTAAATTTCAAAAATTTAAAACTTATCACGTAGGGATGATGAGTTCCAATGAACATAATTATAATAATATTTAATTTATATTAAAAATTATTAAATTATATGTGATTTATGTATTTTCATGTAATTAAAAAATGGAAAATATATGATTTATAAAGTTTAAAAAATGTGTTTATTATAAAGCTAAAATTTATAAATCAACAAATGAAAAATTATAGAGAAACAATTAAAGGATAACTAAATTTACATTAAGAATTTAATTAATAAAACATCACATAAACTTGATAATTAAAATATCACATAAATATTAACATCTGAGTTTATATCATCTTAATCTTCTTGTTCGTTGACACGTTAAATGTAAGTTTATTTCTTTAATCCTATATTCTTTTTCTTGTTTTCTCCTATACATAAATAGTTATAATTCTTGAAATTCATATTCTATATTATCATAGGCATCTTCCAATTTACTATTTAAAGTGGAAGGAATTGCGTCTTACTTATAATACTCAACAAATAGTTCAAACAGCGTAATCATTGTTCAAATAGCATATTGATGAATGTTGTGAAATCAAAGAGGTGAGAAACTTGAAGTGTAGTGAAGATAATGTTAAATTTTCAATAATGATGTAGAGTTACTTGAAAATTATCAATAATGAATCTAAAAGAAATCTTGAAAGTGTATTTAAATTTGCAATAATTACTTATAGTATTAATAAAATATAACAGTTTATTACATTACTTATATTAACTCACACAGTTAACAAAATCAACGGTAATATTACTTTTATTTTTTCATAAATAATAAAAACAACCCTTAACATTTTTACTATATGTGTCTCTCATTCTTAACGATAGTTGCGTCTTAGAGAAATTTTGCTATCGTTGTCATAGTGATGTTATGAAGAGATTTGAGAATAAAAATATCTAAAAAGAGATTATCAACATGTGTAACTAATATATTATTTTTCATCAATTATTTAAGCTTTATTTATTTCTTCATTTTCTATTCTTAATTTTTTTTCAGGGTATGATTTATTACAACCAAACTTTTGTACACGACTAGAAAATTTGAAAAAATATGACGAAGAAGTTTATAACTTCGCAACTGAGATCCCTAGGGAAAGATGGTCACAAGACTATGATAAGGGTCGACATTACGGTTATATGACAATCAACCTTAATGAATGTATAAACTTAATGCTTAAAGGGACTCGACATCTCCCGATAGCAAATATTATTAAGGAGACATACCTTAGGTTGAGTAAAGTTTGACCAAAAAAAGGCACACAAGTAGTTGCTATGACCAATTATGGAAGACACTAGACTCTAGATTTGGATAAGACAATGCAAAAAATCAAACGCATGCAACATCAATGTTTGTTTTTTACTTTGGATGAATTGATATTGATTACATTGTCCAATCACTTGTACGATCACATTAGAGAGGCAATTCTACCACCTACATATGTAATATTAATAGAAAATTGTATGATTATGGTTGATTTCAAATTTTTAGATTCTCATGCGCTCACATTATCGCTACATGTATGCACATTAGTATTGACCTATACTCTTATGTTGTCACTACATGTATGCACTTTATTTCATTTTTATGTGTACATCATTGCAACTATTCATAAATAATTTCACTTTAAACAATAATTACTTAAATAATAACGATATTATCACACATATATTTAAAACCTAAAAAATAGATCTCTCCACTCTATTTCTTACAGTGAATCCATCATTACACTCACAAAATTTTAGTTTTTTTTCTTTCACCTATCTCTACAAGTTGTTTGTTACATCCTATTGGTAAGTCTTCATATTTCTTTTTGTCTCCTTCTCATTCTTCTTAATTTCCGTTAACCTTTTCATCCTTCCTCAACTTTCTTCTTTTTCTTAGGTTCCTCAACCATTGACATTATTGCTTAGTATATCAACTTATCATCTAAAATTGAGCTTGAATCTTAATCGTCAAATCGAATTCGTTAAAACCATACACATCATTCACTAGACTTGGCCAAAATTTTTCCACTAATTCATGATTTGATTCTCAAAACTGTCCCTTTTGTCCTATAAATACCATCAATTCACTCCTATATATATATAAATCCCAATATTCCTGGTGGAACTCATCACTTCATAGGATGAATTCACTTAATTTTTTTAATTTTAAATTAAAAAATAACAATCACCTAACAACTATATTTTCAAATTCAAAGGAATTCGGGTGACGATTTCCATTTTTTAAAAACCTCATTTATATATTTTATTTAAATTATAAAAAGTTAATATATTTTAAAAAGACTCCTCACATAAAGGTGATAAATTTCCAAAAAAATATTATAATATTCAATCTAATGGGACTCATCTAATAATTGTATCTAAAAATAATTTCAGATAAAATTTGCCTCCTTGATTTAATGAGTTCTACTGTTGAAAATAGCATAAATTAAAAAATAAATTTACTATTGCCCAATTGAATTAAATAATTTACCACCATGACATTAGACTAATTTTACCGTTTTCCCCATCGTTTAATATTTGTTTGTACTTTTTATTCACTCTTCACCTCGTCTTCATCATTTTGCCAAAAGAAGAGAGCATAATTAAAAAGTGTTTGTACTTTTCTGGAAAAGAAGTCGCGAGGGCGACTTTAAGCAAATCTTGTTTTGAAGGGAATCTGACTCGTGTATCTATGCTAATGGGCCACGTGGCCACACGATTTCTGTACAGGTACCAATTTGATCTAAAAGATTAGGGACTAATTTATACGAAGATGTCAACATGTGATTGAAGCCTACTTAATAATAGTTTTCTTTGAACATACGCTGCATTTCTTTATTGAAAAAGAGAGGAACACAAGACACGCATTTAATGGCACCCACCATCTAATAAAAACTCACGTGTATCGGGAACCACAAAACTCAGTTCCCATCCGTAAAACAACCAAAATTACAAAGGACTTAATAAAAATCTCTCGTACCAAAATCAAAATTAAATTATTTAATCAACGCAATCGACCCCAATTTTGAAGAGTGCATGTCATAATCATAAATGTATCATATGTTTGAAGTTTTTAACCATTAGTAAAAAATATTATTAGTTTTAAATAATTTAAACTGATTATAAGTATATAATATATTTTTTAATTTTTAAAAATATGAATGTAATAATTCTTCGAAATCAGTTATCTTAAATGAAAATAATATTTTTTAACTATTAAAATTCCTTATAAATTCAATATATCATACTTCTCAAATAATTAAGTTTAAATATAAAAATATATAACCATCCATATTTTAAAAAAAACAAAATATCTTCCCATATCTTAAGAAAATATACCAATTCAAGCTGGCATCCTCAATGATAGCCTGTTTTGTCGTTATCTAATAATTAATTAACCATTTTGTCTCGGTTCTACCATTTTGGTTACAAAAAATCAAGCTCAGATCAACTGCGATCTGTAGTTTGGTTGTATATTCTATAAAACAGAAGGGATCTTAAACTTCATCGGTAAAAACACGAGAAACTCTTTATTTGCAGAAGTGGTTTCAAATTGATTTCAAGGCAAAAATGAGTTCCAATTCTTCCACAGCTTCCACCCAAAGAAGGTAAGGAAAAAATCCCCAACTTTTTGTTCGTGTGGACAGCTAGAAACCATTGCCTCAATTAGCCCTTTGTTTCAATGTTTTGTTTCCATTACAGGCTTGAAGACAAGGTGGCTTTGATTACCGGAGGAGCTGGCGGCATTGGCGAGGTCACAGCAAGGCTGTTTATCCAACACGGTGCTAAGGTTGTCATAGCAGACATCCAAGATGATCACGGACAAGCCCTGGTTCAAGAACTTGGAGAAGAAAACATCTCATATGTTCACTGTGATGTTACATCGGACTCCGATGTCGGAAACGCCGTTGGTTTAGCTGTCTCAAAGTACGGGAAGCTTGATATAATGTTCAACAACGCCGGTATGTCCAGTCCCGACCTGCACATAGTCACTTCAAATGATGAGAGATTCAAAAAGGTTCTGGATGTCAATATCTTTGGAGGGTACTTGGGTGCTAAACACGCTGCCAAGGTCATGATTCCGGCCAAGAAAGGATGCATTCTGTTTACTACAAGCGTTTTCTCGGTGATCGCCGGAGCCGATGCTGGCCATGCCTACGTGACATCGAAGCATGCGCTTGTGGGGTTGGCTAAGAATCTGGGTGTGGAGTTGGGGCAACATGGGATAAGAGTGAACTGCATCTCGCCACACGGCGTGGCGACTCCGATGCTGACGAGGCCGTTCGGAAACATGCCGAAGGAGAAAGTGGAGGAGCTGATTGCCTCGGGGTCGAACTTGAAGGGGGCGATATTGGAATCGGAGGATGTGGCTCAAGCCGCTTTGTATTTGGCCAGTGATGATGCTAAATACGTGAGTGGACTCAACTTGATCATTGATGGAGGCTATAGTACAACTAACCCTTCAATGTCCAATATCCTTAAGAGCCTGTCTTCCAAAGTTTGATTTTTTCCCCTTTTGGTTATTTTGGTTGAATTGTTGAATTCAATCTTTAAATTATCATGTCAATCGGATTTGAGTTGTTATTTAATATTAAGATCTGAAATTTGGTTGAAATCTATCATTACACAATGAATCTAGAATTATTTCTCAGAAAATTATATTTATCAATAACATAAAATTTTAAATAAAATAGATACAAATAAATTTAAATAAAATAGATATAAATAAAATTTTAATGTGAGTAACGTTCGTAAAATAATTAATTAATTGAAAAAAATTTAAATTTTAAGATAGATAAATTTTTAAATAAATAATTAATAAAAAATCAAATTTAAAGTGAATATGGACCTACGCTCCTTAACTTTGGCTTTCTCCAAAACTTCAACGCGAGACAATTGAAGTGTATCTTGCGAGTGACTACTAAAGATCAGGTGTCGAGAACCTACTGTTATTGTGAACATATTTTATGTACAAAAATCTACATACGTGTTGATGTAAGTGATCTTATTTGATGATTAACTAGTATAAACCATTACTTTCTAAGATGTTTAATTAACACTAATATCATAACACCTGCCTAGTTACAAATAATCATTCAACACAATGTAAGATCATATACACATTTCTTCTCCAAAAAGCCCGATTTACACCACCAGAATTACCACCATAACTATTATTCTATCACTGTCTACTGTTGTTCTCTACTTTAGGAGTGTTTGAAAATATTCGATTTGAATTATCCGACTCGTTATATGTTGATATAGTATAAAATTATCAGGTATTTTAGAGGAATATATCTGATTTTACGAGCTGGATATTTAACCTGTTAATTTTGGCGAGTTTATGGTGGACCCGGATCACAAAATTACCAATACCGGGTTTCCTTTTTCTATATTTTATTACTATTTTTATTTTAAATTAGAATTTTCATTTTAATTTCAATTTTTTACTCAACATTCAAAATCTCTAGTTTTTAAAAATTATTTCACGTTAATATTTAAATGATTTATTTTAATCTTAAATTATTTTAAATTTAGTTGTAATTTTATAATTTTATTTTATATTTTATATTTTTAAATTATATCAAAATAGGTCAGGTGAAACTTTTTAATAAGTAAAAAATAGGCATAATGTCAAAAATATTTATAATACATGATTAAATAGTTATTTAATCTAATCTGAACAACGTTCAAATTATTAAACCAACCCAAACAGCTCAAACCAAACTCAAAACATGCACTAGCACCAGACTCCATGTCGTTGATCTACAGAGGACCCACACCATCACCACGCTGCCTATACACATCAAAAACACCACAAGGTTCATTGGCATCACCACTTATCAACTTACTGCAACCATTAAACGATGTCGATAACCAAACTATCATTCCATCACCTGCAGTTACCAAGACCCAACCATAGAAACTTCCCTGCAATCACCACCTTCATCCCACATAACTTGAAATTTTACCCACCACAGCCCCTAACCAACAACCAAAGCCTTGATTTCCCCCTATCAAGCCTCGCCCGCATTCTCAGTCTTTATACCATCGTCGTAAATCCTTGAACCAATATCCATCAAGAGTGAAAAAAAAGCTGGGCAAAAGATTATATATGTAATTTTTGTGTGAAGTCATATCATCATTATTGTATCTAAATCTATCCATATTAATTATATAATGGCAACATATATATGCTTGAGAATGTATTCAATGTCCATGAATGTGAGTAGAGACTGACGTAAAATAAATATGTTACGGGGTAAATTTTTTTTATTTTTTATAGAAAGCCGTTAGTTTTATTAAAAATAGAAAATATATAGAATTACAATGAAGATTTACAAGTATAACTATAAGGTTAACTAAATTATAATTAGGACATTTTCATATAACAATTGATACAAAAACTAGCCACCTAGATCATGCAATGACCAAAGAAGGAAAATGTTAAAAAGCCTAACTAAAATACTCGAACAAAATAAAGATACAAACAAATATTACTGCATCGACAAACGAACCACAAAAGGGAAATATGCTATTAAAAGACTACTGAGAAATTGCAAATAAGGGTCAAACGACGTGAGAAAACTATCCACGAACGCAAAATACATATCCAAATCAATCCGAGTGTCTAAAGCAGGGAAGATCAATCCAATTAATTATAATCTGATTTCATCCGAAAATTCCATAACTTTTCATTAAAATTCTTCATGTTTCATTCCCTTTTTCTATTCTTAACTCAATTACATATACTTAAACTATTTTCTACTCATTCAATACATCTTTAACCTTAAAATTCCATCTTTCATATGGAAATCAATAATCATACCAATTTTCAAGATGCTCTAAATCCAATTCTATCACTTCATATCTCTTAATTAAGTTGATGACAAGTCAAATTTAGTTTCAAATTCAACTTATAAACTCTTCTCCAAAAATTCACTTAAAACCCCATTTTCTTTAATCTTTCATAACTTCTTAATCTTTTGATTTTAAGACAACTTAAGTTTCCTTAAGCTTGAGTATCACCTAAGGATCAAAACCCATACTTAAATTCAACAAACAATCAAGTAATCAAAAAACTTACATTTGCTTGGAGTGCTTCACGTTGAAGAAGAAAAAAGAAGATAAAGAAGAAGTTTTGGAGAAAATATCTCCGTCATCTTATCCTTATATCCTTATCAATCCCATTTTTAATTAATTTTTAAGTCAAATGACTATTTTGCCCTTCACTTCATTTAATAATTACTAATAACTTTCAGGCAATATTTTCAAATAAATCATTGAACTATTTATCTATTCCACTTTTATCACCAAATTCTGAAATTTTACAATTTGGTCACTAACCCGGTATTGAGGATGTTACAAGTATCGATATTGTATATAGTATCAATATCATTTTAGTATTATGTTTTGTCAAACTTGTACACAGTATCGGTACTACTTCATAATTTTGGGCTTCAACATCGATATATGTATCAATACTTCTCGAACAATATCGGTATTGTTCTAGTAGTATCGATACTACAATACTTAAAAATCATTTTTGACTCGATTGAAGTTTGAAACCCTTAGTAAAGAATATTTCAAAAATATTTCCAGTATAAAACTCAATTTTTTAGTAGAGTGATGAGTAAAATTAACCTTTTAACTTTAAAAATAATTTATATGTTCGAATCACTGAATCTAATATAATCTTAAAATTTGTAAAAAAACCATTTAACAATTTTTGGTATACCAAAATATCAAAGTGTTTTCAACAATCTCCCCCTTTTTGATATAACAAAACATTTAAGAATTTTAAGAATTTATTGAAAAAATACTCCCCCTACTCTAACATTTCTCCCCTTTTTTGTTAAATTAAAAAGATAAGTTTCAGAATAAACAAGATAAATAATAAAGTTGTGAAAATCAAAAGGGCCAAACAAGTTAGTCAACATAAGTAATATCCAAAGGTAGTGGGCATGGTCACAATAAAAGGAAACATGGCTGAAAATATTCGAAATATTATAAAATTTAAAAGAAATCTATCATACCATCCAAAACATAAAAGAAATACCAAATTCAAAATATCAAAGTCAAAGAAAATCACCCATGTGTAAATTCAAAGTATGACATGCAGAACCAACGAAAATGAAACTAGCAAAGCAAAATGATCAGCCATCCGACGGAGGATCAAGATCTGAAGGAGGTGCGCGGAAAGAATCAAAGTCTCGAGAGAGAGAGATCGTCGAGCCTATCCCTCACCACATCGAATCGAGCGAGGATTTCTCGTTGGGAATCCACATGCATCGCTTGTAATTCCAACTGCTGAGAAGCTATCTCGGATACCTGAGTTCTCAAAGCAGTAAAGTGGGACTCCATAGAAGCAAACGTCAAGTCCAATGACTCCATCATGGATTGAAGGTAAGGAGGCATCTCACAACCAGCTCTAGGAGGCTCCTTAGGAACGTGATTCACTGGATCATAAACATCATGTAATACATCATCGGCTTGAGGTTGAGCTGGAGCCGAGGTGAACTTGCACCGTGCACCTCTTTTGTTTTCATTTGCCAAGTGTCTCCAACTTTAGTCATCCCGACTTACGAAGTGATGTGAGATCAATATGAGTAGCCAAAGGGATGAAAACATCAATATCGAATTGAAGACCGGCTTTTAGAAAGAAATTACTAAGAAGACAACCATAAATAAGAGATTTGACCCGCTTAGAAAGAATATGGTTAATGGTGTCCACTAATTCATAGAAGATGATTTGAGCGAGGTTAATCATTTTATTTTCTTGAAAGTAATGAATCCACCAAATGTCAATGTTACGGAGAGAAGAATATTTACCTCTGGATGGTCGAAACCACCAAGAGATGATCAAATGAAGGAAACTCTCATGAAAATTAAGAACACTAGGCTCTACCCTTCTTCTAAGGAGGAAGGGACAAATCTCGTTCATTATCAATACCGGTGTTTTCAAGGCCAAAAGCACGAGCGAAGAACTCAGAATCAAGAGTAATGTATTCCCCCAAAAGATAGGAGCGAATACTTTCGGTATGAGTGCGAGCTTCGTTTTGAACAAAATGCATTGGAATAGAAAATGCAGTCAAATTTCTAAGCTTTGAAACGGGGAAGGAATTTAAAATCAATGGCGTTCATAGCTGGAATGGAAGGGAGACGCTCACCCCTAAGGGCATAAGATTCGAAATGATTAAGATATTGTGAATAAAGGTTTTGACGATTGGGTTCATTAAAACAAGAGTTCACGATTGTCATTTCATTTTGATTGGAATTAGGATTTGGCGGAGGGTTAGAAGGTGGATTAACATGAGAGGAGGATAATCGATGACGTTTATGAGACATAGTAAGGTCGAGATAAAGTAAAACTTGCAAAGAAAAACAATATATATGTATGTAACCAATCAATCCAAAACTCAATATGAGTTTACAATTCAAGGCATGATATAACAAAATTAAATTTAAAATAATAATAATGGGCCAAAAAGAAAACAGTGTTAGAA